GATGGCATAGCACATGATGGCATAGCACATGATGGCATAGCAAATGATGGAATAGCACATGATGGTTTAGCACACGATGGCATAGCACATGATGGCATAGCACCTGATGGCATAGCACATGATGGCATAGCACATGATGGCATAGCACATGATGGCATAGCACATGATGGCATATCACATGATGGCATAGCACACGATGGCATATCACATGATGGCATAGAACACGATGGCATAGCAAATGATGTAATAACACACGATGGCATAGCACATGATGGCGTAGCACATGATGGCATAGCTCACGTTGGCATAGCACACGATGGCAAGGAGGACATGATGGCATGGCACGTGATGGCATAGCACATGATGGCATAGCACCTGATGGCATAGCACATGATGGCATAGCACCTGATGGCATAGTACATGATGGCATAGCACATGATGGCATAGCACATGATGGCATAGCACATGATGGCATATCACATGATGGCATAGCACACGATGGCATATCACATGATGGCATAGCACATGATGGCATAGCAAATGATGGAATAGCACATGATGGCATAGCACATGATGGCGTAGCACATGATGGCATAGCTCACGAGGCAAGGAGGATATGATGGCATAGCACATGATGACATAGCACATGATGGCATAGCACATGAGGGCATATCACACGATGGCATAGCACATGATGGCATAGCACGGGGGCAAGGCAAGGAAGGGCTTTTCCAGGGAGGGCATAGTACAGGGAGTCAGGATAAGGGAGGGTAGAGCACGGAGGGCAGTGGAGGTTATTGCAGGAGAGGGCATAACATTGGAGGGGATGGCATAGCAGGGGAGGGCAGTTATAAAAGAAAGGCAGAAACACGAGGGGGGCAAAGAAAGGAAGGGCAGATCAGGGGAGGGCATACAAGGGGAGGGCGAAGCAGGGGAGGGCAGAGCATGGTACTTCAGAGCACAATAGGGCATGGGGTGGCATGGTTTAGATTGAAATACACCAAACTACAAAAACACGCCCACCTTCGTCATGTGTGTGGAGTATTCCTTTGCCAGTTTTTCGTCTGCGGCATATTTCCTCTGATCCTCAACCGTGCAAATCTTTGCCGTACTAGAAGGGTCCACATTATGTAGGCTTTTATGGTGCACCTCACAGATAGAGCACGGCCTGTTGGCACTCTGTTGCTTGGTGCGGGTCACCCTGCAAGTTTCACGGAAATCTGCCACGTATGTGAACAGCTTCGGCCATACGGTGTACACTGCCCCAAAGGGATCAGTCAGCGTAATTGACCTGCGGGAGACATTTAAACCCGTTGGTTAGACCTTGGGTGCGTAATTCACAAAGGCCAGTTAATAAAATGGAAGCAGACACTCACGTCTTGCACGCTTCATCGAGAGACTTCAGTACGGCCTCACAACATCTCTGGAACAGAGTGGTTTTCTGTTCAGAGGTCATGTCAGCGTCTGGAAGTGGTAGAAGAGCGACAAGAGCGTGCCCATGCTCATTCCATCGCACGCTCAAAGGTAGGTTGCTGAATGACAGGTACAATGGCCAGGCACGGCACCGTTCGTTGCCACTGAGGTGTGTCTCATCGCTTGATAGGATTATCTGGCAAACACATTCCTTCTCTCCAAGTCCCTTCTGCCAAGTGAAAAAATGGCACATTTTGAGTGTGCAAGGCATATACATAGAATGCTACAAATACAATGCAAAGGATTCACCTGTGACTTTATCCAGAAATTGGCAGTTTCTGTTCCAACGTACCCACGTTTGCCATTCACCATCTTGCGGGCAGCTTTATGAATGAGCCCCTTTTGGTTGCGGGGATCAGCCTACATGCGTCGTAGAGCCTGTGAATCATACCCATAAATCATAAATCCATATTGATAGTACAAAATAGCAAAACACAGCCACCATCTATAGCAAATCATTAACATTTACCTCTATCGGATCCAAAAACTTCACTTTGAACGTACAGTGCTAACCAGGCACTCGCACTATCACCGTCTTAAACTGTATCTTCTCGATGCCAAACTGCTCGCACGCATACTTGTCCACTGCATGCTGCCCATTCCACTGCTCTAACTGTGTGACGTCAAAATCCGGGTGCTTCACCAGCTTAAAAAAAGCACCAACATCAGGACCCCTCATCCCGGTTCCCCTATTACACTGGGACAAGAATCTGAATGTCTCAAACTTTGTATCAAACGCAGGCGGTCAAACGGTCTCTTCGTGCCCGAAATATGCCTCCGCATCCACGAACACTACATCCTCCACATTACCCGCCTCCTCCTCATTGCTCTCATGCCCTAACTCCACTTCCTCAACGGGGGGCAGCAATGGGGCTTCTACTGGGATGGAGGGTTCATGCGGCTGCACAAGCACCCCACGACGAATCGTGGCCGACGAACCAGCCGATGCAAAGAACGCATCGTTAGCGGGGGTGTTGAGGTGCATTTTCTCGTGGGCGTCAAAAGCGTTGTAGGTCTTCAATCTCTTAGTGCAGCTGCGACAGTTGTAGTAGTGCATATCTGCCAAATACGAAAAGCAATGAGTGAAGGTACCACAAATCAGGATGTTAGTGACTGGTGGTATCACGCTTTGAGACTAGCATGAAGGGTGGTAGCACGAATCTGGATGTGAGCAAGAGGGGTGGAAACACCCATTCACATGAGCTTGAGGGCAGGTAACACGCTTTAAGGCATCCCCTGTGAGGTGATGACACGAATCTGGATGTGAGCAAGAGGGGTGGAAACACCCATTCACATGAGCTTGAGGGCAGGTAACACGCTTTAAGGCATCCCCTGTGAGGTGATGACACGAATCTGGATGTGAGCAAGAGGGGTGGAAACACCCATTCACATGAGCTTGAGGGCAGGTAACACGCTTTAAGGCATCCCCTGTGACGTGATGACACGAATCTGGATGTGAGCAAGAGGGGTGGAAACACCCATTCACATGAGCTTGAGGGCAGGTAACACGCTTTAAGGCATCCCCTGTGAGGTGATGACACGAATCTGGATGTGGGTGAGATGGGTGGTAACACGCATTGAGATGAGCCTGCAGGAGGGTGGTAACACGCATTAATATGAGCTTGAGGGGTGGAGACACGCATTGAGATGAGCCAGGGGGGTAGTAGCACGCAAAGAGAGGAGCATGAGGGGTAGTAAGAGCATGAGGGGTGGTAACACGCATTGAGATGCGCCTGTGGGGTGGTGTCACGCTTTGATTCCTCGCCTGTGGGGTGGTGACACGAATCTGTCATGTGAGTGAGAGGGGTGGTGACACGCATTTAGTTGAGGGGAGGTAACACAATTTGAGATGTCACCCTGCTTGATGGTAACACAATCTGATATGAGCGTGAGGGGTGGTAACACACCTTGAGAGGAGCATGAGGGGTGATTACACACATTGAGAGGAGCATTAGGGGTAGTAGGAGCATGAGGGGTAGTAAGAGCATGAGGGGTGGTAACACGCATTGAGATTCGGCTGTGGGGTGGTGACACGAATCTGGATGTGAGTGAGAGGGGTGGTAACACACATTGAGAGGAGCATGAGGGGTGGAAAAACACATTGAGAGGAGCATGAAGGGTAGTAGGAGCATGAGGGGTAGTAAGAGCATGAGGGGTAGTAACACGCATTGAGATGCGCCTGTGGGGTGGTGTCACGCTTTGATTCCTCGCCTGTGGGGTGGTGACACGAATCTGTCATGTGAGTGAGAGGGGTGGTAACACGCATTTAGTTGAGGGGAGGTAACACAATTTGAGATGTCACCCTGCTTGATGGTAACACAATCTGATATGAGCATGAGGGGTGGTAACACACCTTGAGAGGAGCATGAGAGGTGATAACACACATTGAGAGGAGCATTAGGGGTAGTAACACACATTGACAGGAGCATGAGGGGTGGTAAAACACATTGAGAGGAGCATGAAGGGTGGAAACACACGTTGAGAGGAGCATGAGGGGTGGAAAAACACATTGAGAGGAGCATGAGGGGTGGTAAAACACATTGAGAGGAGCATGAGGGGTGGTAAAACACATTAAGAGGAGCATGAAGGGTGGGAACACATGTTGAGAAGAGCAATCGGGGTAGTAGGAGCATGAGGGGTAGTAAGAGCATGAGGGGTGGTAACACGAATCAAGGCATGGTCAGACAAATGTAAGCATGGGTATGAGGTCATTTACCTGTCTGAGCTTCTTCCGTCAGTTCCATGATATTGAGCAGTCAAGCCGTACCTGTTGCTCGGGGATAGAAGAAACAAAGGATTAATGATCTGGCCGTGCGATCACACACAATAGCATTCACAGCGAGCGCACGTCCAGAGGTGCCTCTCGCCGTGCGCTCGCTCCCATGATCCGCACTCACAGCGAGCGCACGTCCCGAGGCGCCTCTCGCCGTGCGCTCGCTCTCACAATCCGCATTCACAGCGAGCGCACGTCCCGAGGCGCCTCTCACCGGGCGCTCGCTCCCACGACCCGCATTTACAGCGAGCGCACGTCGCGAGGCTCTTCTCGCCGTGCGCTCGCTCCCGCGATCCGCATTCACAGCCATCTCAAAAATCCCTATTGATTGTACATACCTTTTACTTACCTTTTCTCTACTCCTTGGTATGTATTTAGTAAGGCTGATTTGGCCTACTATAAAGTAGAAGTTGTCGTACCTTTTTAGTAGGGTCCATTTCCATACGAAAAGGACTAGCTATTTAGTTAGTAAATGTACCTAATTTACATGTCACTTATATTACATTTGTGTTCCCAACATCATGAAACCGCCCCCCATTAGTCATGCATTTTCTGTTCAAAAAGCATACATTTGCCTGACCAATGGTATGGAAACTGTACAAATTTGAGGCTCAAATTTCTTGCTGAAAGTGACCCAGATGTTTGTATCCCAATAGTAACCATTTGTCCATTTCCCAAATATATATAATACATAAGCTATATAATACAACAGATCTCAGCATGGCACCAATTCGCCCGCCCACATCATCCACCTCTACACACTATCCTCCGCATCCTCCCACCCACCCACATCATCCAGGAGATCTCGCTCCATGGTGGCATCACTGGTGTTGGAACCCGTCTTCTTCTTGCCTTTCTCGGGCTCCACCTGGGCATACTCGAACAGAAGAGCAACCGCCTTCTTCTCGGCGGCATCGGGGTCAGCCCCATCGGGAACGAGGTCGGGGAAGCCGCTGCCCGAGATCACCACGGTCTCGGTGGGTCCAAACACCCACCCCTGATACTACTCCGACCATGCAGGAAGCTGGTCATCCGGGGACTCTTCGAGGGTCTTGCGAATGACCGCCTTCACCTTGCGGTGGTAGCTGGCAATGTCAGCTGCATTCACATCCGCATCCGTAGGAATGCGTTTGCCATGAGCCTTGTGGTGCACCTCTGAATATTCAACCTGTTACAATGGGGGAGTGCAGATTAATGGGGAAGGGTAGTGTTAGTTAGGCAAACTGGACATGGCAGGCAGGTGGGAGGTGATAGAGCACAAAAGGCATGCGATGACACCTCCACTCCACGTTCTTGAGGGGTGGTGAGGAGGGAAAGGGATGGACAGCATTAGGCAGAGTGTGCGAGGCGCACCGAGCGACAAGACGGGCTAAAAATCAAGCCTTGATATGCGCTTGCAAGCGTAAGGGGTGGTTGGAGTGGAGAGGGGCAACATGGGAGAACGGCTGATGCATGAAACATGGAGTGCAACACACTGGGCATGGAATCAACGCCCTACAAGCTTCTACCACTGTGGCAGGAAATGGGCAGGGTGGCAGGGGAAATAGGGAAGGGTGTGATTGGTTGATGAGAGGGTCGGAGGGAAGATGGTTGGAGGGAAGATGGGGCGACCAACTGGCTATGCAAGGCAATCTTCAAAGCAGCCAATCTTACAGCTACAATACAACACAAGAAACAAAGTGCTAGCACATGTGCAAACGTAAAAAATCACACTCATACGTACCAGATACAGCAGATAGGCGATGTGGTACGCCTTCACCACCGCAGCCGACCCGCCAGCGCCCTTCTGAAATGCGTTGCGGACGATGATGTCGAAGAGCGCAGTGCCAAACGGGCGCATCGTGTCTTCAGCAAAGTGCCAGCGAAGAAGCCCTCCCTTTTCTGCTCAGCACATAGATATTTAAACAATGGAAACAGACATGCAGCCGTAAGTTATATGGAAAGGTGGGTACTTTCATAACCAAGGGTATGCCAAGAACATAAGACGTATACAGCACCATGCGTAACAGCTGTGGTTACCAATGCTCACGAACTGCACTTACCAAGAGGCTTGACCAGTGGTATACCACCCTCGCTCTCCAAGTTTTACACTTGGGTTGGTGTGCGCTCCTCGTCACAAACTAGCTCGCTGTAGTCGAATTTCAGGCGGGGATTCGCCTCGCAAGGGAGCCCAAAAGCGTCAGCAAAATTCTGGCGCCCATTCATCGAGATCCGCGCACGCCAATCACTCTGCTTGCGCGTTGAAGCGCCTGCCCGCGCCACGCAGTACGTCATGACTGCTACCAGCGCGGCAGCTTTGCTCTCGCCCCAAACACCGATGAGGCACCGCATGACCACGCTTTCTGACGGGTACACGCTCGTAACGTCGTCCGGTTGACGAGAAAACGCCACAACCACAGCAAGCTCCATCTTTTTCTGGTACGTGGGAATGCGGAAAAGAATAGGCAGATCTGGAAACTTGGAAACGTGGCAAATCAGCATGCGAGAAGAACAGGTCGACTAAAACAGAACAAGGCCAGAAAAGGAGGGGCGTGAGGAAAGGGTGAAGAGGGGATGAACAAACACCAGTGCCCCTTAGCCATAACCCACACAAACACAACCCACCAATCCCCATTCCACACTTTCAATATGGCACTTACGTTCCATGCCTTGCCATAGGCAGGCAACTGGCGCATGAGGATCTGGTCCCTCAACGGGATACCACTGAGTGACGTGTGCAGGAGTACGTCGCACACGTTACCGTTGTTCTTCATCGTTGGATACTTCCGCTTCCGCGGCACAGCAGGGGAAGCACGGTTGGACGTCGCGCGCTGCAGCATTTCGCGTTCGGGTGTAGCGACATCAGCTCGCTGCGACGTTGGTGCTGATCGCGGCGTTCCATTGGTGCTTGGAGACCCCGAGGCAGGACCCACCGCACCCCTCTCCAGGGAGCAAGACCCATTGTTAAGTTTCAACAAAAGCGACGAAATCAGCAGTGACTGCTGCTGTGTGGTTCGCTCCAACTCAGCAAGCCGCCCGTTAGCAACCTGGACAGATGCCGCGACAACACCCTCCAATGGGCTCCCAGCAGGACTTTGAGAGGGAAGCGACGCCCCATCACGCTCGGTGATGTTGTTCAGCGTGTCCTGTCGCCCGTCCCCTGCGGCACAGGAAATGAGCGTTACGGTTAAAACTGGGATACAACACAACAGAAGATCTGGAATACAAGCACAACAGAAGATCTGGAATACAAGCACAACACAAGTTCCAAAGAACAGGTCAAGAAAATTTCAAGAGCTCTTACCTTGCTTTTCCGTCTGCAGCTTCGTGCGTTCCTCTTCCTCATCATGCTCCTCATCACTGAAGTCGTCAACATGGACTTGGACCCCCAAGGGAGCGGCATCACAAGCACCGCTAGACGGGTCAGCTGCGGCAGTAGAGGCGTTGTCAATGCCGGTGTTGCCCGCAACGTCGTCGACATCATCGTTGTCATCTACGTGCTCAGAAGCGCCATCCTTGCGCACTTTCGGGATCAGTCGGCCGCCAACAGTGTTGCGCCTCTTGACACCGCCACTCAGTCGGGTATCAAGACCCCCAGCTCCCTGCATCTTCGGGGTCAGCTTGATGGGGCGCTTGCCTGTCACCTCGCTACGGACAGCAAGGACGGAGGCCATAGTTCTGGAGGTGGTGAATACCGTACTGCGAGAGATAGGAACTAGGAGACGGAAAGATATGATAATACTGCCCAGCGAGGTGTGACTTGAGTAGTAGTTAAACTTGGCCAATAGACTGAAGCTGCTACAAGTGCAGGTGATTGGCGCCAAAGGGCAGGTGAGCACCACATTTGGGCAGGTGAAAGGCACGGTTGGGCAGGTGAACGACGGCGCTCGGCAGGTGTATTGATGTTCTGCTGGCAGGTGATTGAGAGCCTAGGCAGCTGAAAACGCCACCTGCTACGAGCACTGCTATCCGTTGAGAAAGTTTGGGCATGGAACAAGTTCGACATCTTGTCACTATACGAGCTAATCACAGATCAGACGAATGTCTGGTGTGTAATCCTCCAGTGCTGGCGCCAAATGTAAACTAAAGTTTGGCGCTAGAGCTTCAGGAGGAGCTGGGAAGTGAGGAAACAAAGCCAAGTCCTCCACTGTGCTCTAACTATCAGTAGAGGCGATTGTTTGAGAGTTTGAATTTCCATAGTTTGAACATTCAAATGAAGAAGATGATGTATGGTCCGCACGATCAGTTGGCAACAACAAATCGTGACCGTCTAAGCTAGTCAAGGGAAAGCTTGTGGAATTGGAGCAATTACGAGTCGATTTGTGAGGAGTGTAAGGGCGGGATGCATCAATGTTTTTTGCAGTTTTGCAGTCCCGATCCCAAACGATCAATTGGTTCGCTCGGGGATTGCATCTGCAGTTTAGTTTTGCAGTCGATCTGGTAATATAATCGTTTCATCTTCGTTGTATTTTCGCCGCGTTGCTGGGCAACGGAAGTATTTTTGCGACAAGGATCGGTGTGCGCCTACAACGCCTATTCGAAGTGAATTTTAAGCTGTGGGATCCTGCCTGTCAAATGCTGATTGGTCGGTGAGTGACCAACTTTCCGAGACCGTCAAGGGAGTGAATGCAGAAGGTGTACAGTAATATCTGTACGCATTGGACAAAACACCTGAAGCACCCCGCTCTAATCCAAACCACACATCTTGTGAAGTCTTCGGCTGCAGAAGTGAATGCACTGTACATGTTTCTGTGCCTGGTTCCATCGCGTCCAGATGGTCACCCATTTGTTGTCATAGTTTTGCTGGCAGGTAATCTGAGATTTCCGCGAATGGGAGTTGAGGGTCGACGTGGAAGTTGCTGCGCTCGCCAAAAATAGGACCAGGTAAACACTGAGTCAGAAAAACAACACGCCGAACCAAGCCATGTGCTGTTCGGATCTGCCACTTTCTAACTTTGTCGCAATAGAAGTCACGACAAATTATCCAGCGGTGCACGACAAATGATCCAGCGGTGCACGGCAGGTGCTCAATCAAGTTTGATCCTGGCTTTATGGGATTAACAATGACGGCACATATGCAACTTATCTAATCTACAGCAATTGAGAATGAAGTCACACATGTAACATCTATAAAGTAATTGTAATTGTCAATTGTTTCATTCACTGCAGCACAAGCCACAACTGGTGCTAATAGTTCAAATGACAAAGTTTGAAGAAAGAAAGAGGATTGAACTAGCAAGAATGAGGATACAAATAGCAAACCCTAGAAGGGTTGTACTCGCTATAGAGCACCCCACTACAGGCTAGAACAATAAGATAATATTCTGACATCAAAAACATCCATTGAATGCGTACTGGGTTGGGAAAAAAAAGATAACTATTAGTGCAGTTCAATGGCTCAACACCTCTAAAAATATGCTGCAATATCCCTAAACTGAATCAATAAAACAATAAAATTACGATATTATGAGTATGCTACTGTCTGGAGTATAGGGAGCAGAATATCTGAACCGGATAGCAAGGTGGTACAATACAGGAGACAACAAGGACAACAACAACAACATCATCAACGACATCATCAACGACAACATCAACGACAACAATTTTTAGTACAGCAACAACGACAACAACACGACAGCATCAGCGACAACAACAATGACAACATCAACGACACCATCATCGACAGCATCAACGACATCATCAACGACATCATCAACAACAACAACAGCCACAAAAACAACGACAACGACACCAACATCAACAACACAGGAGACAACAACGACAACAACAACGAGAGCATCAACAATACCATCATCGACAACATCAACGCCAGCATCAACGACATCAACAACGACAACAACAACGACAACAACAGCCACAAAAACAATGACAACAACACCAACAACAACAACACATGAGACAACAACGACAACAACAGCCACAAAAACAACAACATGTCAAACATTATATGTTTGTGTGGTTCTAGGCTGTAGTGGGTCACACCATAGGGGGTACACCAGTTTAGGGTTTCACATTTGTACTGTTGTTCCTGCTAGTCACATCATTCCTGTTTCTCATTCTGACATGGTATTACGAGCCTACGTTCCACCTAGGACCGGAACGTTAGGGCCCACCGTTTCCGCTAGCCGCGCCCTCGTGCGCCGCCTTTTCCTAGCGCCCTCGTGCGCCTCGTTCCTAGCGTCGCCCCCTTCAGGCCCCTCACGGCCCCTCGCGTCGCCCCTTACGGCCCCGTCTTACCACCCCGCGCTAGCCCCTTAAGGCCCCGCGTCGGCCCCGTGCTAGCCTCTCACGGCCCCCCTACAGCCCCGCGCTAGCCCCGAACGGCCCCGTGTAGCCCCGCGCTAGCCTCCCACGGCCCACCTACGGCCCCGCGCTAGCCTCCTACGGCCCCGATTGGCCCCGCGCTAGCCTCGAACGGCCCCGTGCGGCCCCCGCGCTAACCTCCCACGGCCCCGTAAGGCCCCGCGCTAGCCTCCCACGGCCCCTTCAGGCCCCGCGCTAGCCTCCCACGGCCCCTTAAGGCCCCGCGCTAGCCTCCTACGGCCCCCAAATGGCCCCGCGCTAGCCCCGACCGGCCCCCGAACAACAACAATGACACGTTACCAATGACGACAGCAGCAGCAGCAGCAACAGCAACAACAACAACAGCAGCAGCAGCAGTAGCAATAGCACAAACGACAAGAATGACAACAACGGCGGCAAGGACGACAAGGACGACAAGGGTGACAACGACGACGACGTCGACGACGAGATCAACGTCAACGTCTACGACGACAACAACGACGGCGACTACAATTATTTGAGCAAGTATAATTAGAAGCGATAATATAAAAAACAACTCTTAAATTTTGAAATGTTTCGTGCAAATAATTGTGGAATGGAAAGTAAAGATGTGAGTTATCAATTAACATGGCTCTTTTATTTAGTATGTGAGTTTTTGAAACAATCTGTGTAAAACTTAAAACGGAGCGAGTTCAAAGGTTTGAACTCACGAAGTTGCCAACTTCACACATCAGGTACAAGTTCCGACTGATGAGGCTCGATCTTTTACGCCGCGAAGCGCACTAGCAGAACTTCGATCGCCAAGGCGCCAAGGGTCGTGCACTTGGAAGCACGACCACTAGAGATTTGACGCTCTGTCGTCTCTATTTGCTTCTACTTCACAGCATGCCGATCAATCCTCATAAAAGCCGCGTAGGCTTACAACGCCTTCATTTCCGCAGTCCTTTTCTCAGAATTTGCGGGATAGGAAGCCAGCGACGTCTTCTATTATGGCAGCAACTCCGAGAGCACGTTACCTAGTTATGTTATCACTTATCCTGTGTGCATGGTGCGCCGCAATCTTCCAGACGCACCGTGCTCTGAAGTCTCATCAGACCAACAACGTAGATTGTAGGCTGCGTCAAGCTCGCCTTCGCGACGAGGGCTACGAGAACGGCCCGTTTAAGGCTACCGAAGATGGACAGATTCACAAGGATCCGCCACCTGCATGCCATCATCACAAGCGTAGGCGGCTTGACAGTCCGGCAGTTCCTACAAGCCCCGCACAAGAAGCTCACACTACCACGCCACACTTTGATGCGCCAACGCATGAGCAAGAGCGCGCCTTTCAGCCCGACGCCTCTCAAGAGCCGATTGACATCGATTGGGGGCCTGGAATCTTTGACACACGAAAAGAGCTGCTATTACTGATGCAAAGCTTCCGTGAAGGGCAGGGCATGACCGTTGAAGAGAGCAAGCGGTTCTTGCAGGTCGTATGCCACCCGGGCTTCAATTCTGAGGATCTCCAAGGCTGGCGGAGCATAGAAGATGCTCAAAAGTGGGCTGCGGACAAGTGGGGCTCGAAAGCGCCCGAGTCGAAGACGACAATGGTCAAGGTCCCATGGGTGTTCGAGAATGGCCGACCCGTCTATGTGCCCTTGAAATACACGGACACTATCAAGGTAAGTCACGGGGAGTGATGCTCTTGCAACTGGTGGCTCGAAGCCCAGGTGAGTGGTCGGCGATGGAAAGGGCTGTAAAAGGGTTAGGTGAGCTCGGATGTGAGTGTGTAGGGAGGGTCGGAGTGATAGGTGAGCTCGGATGTGAGTGTGTAGGGAAGGTCAGAGTGATAGGTGAGCTCGGATATGAGTGTGTATGGAGGGTCAGAGTGATAGGTGAGCTCGGATGTGAGTGTGTAGGGAGGGTCGGAGTGATAGGTGAGCTCGGATGTGAGTGTGTAGGGAGGGTCAGAGTGATAGCTGAGCTTGGATGTGAGTGTTTAGGGAGGGTCAGAGTGATAAGTGAGCGGTGATGTAAGTGTGTAGGGAGGGTCCGAGTGATAGGTGAGCTCGGATGTGAGTCTGTAGGGAGGGTCAGAGTGATAGGTGAGCGGGGATGTGGGTGTGTAGGGAGGGTCGGAGTGATAGGTGAGCTTGGATGTGAGTGTGTAGGGAGGGTCGGAGTGATAGGTGAGCTTGGATGTGAGTGTGTAGGGAGGGTCGGAGTGATAGGTGATGTCGGATGTGAGTGGGTAGGGAGGGTCAGAGTGATAGGTGAACTCGGATGTGAATGTGTAGGGAGGGTCAGAGTGATAGGTGAGCGGGGATGTGAGTGTGTAGGGAGGGTCAGAGTGATAGGTGAGCTCGGATGTGAGTGTGTAGGGAGGGTCAGAGTGATAGGTGAGCTTGGATGTGAGTGTGTAGGGAGGGTCGGAGTGATAGGTGAGCTCGGATGTGAGTGTGTAGGGAGGGTCACAGTGATAGGTGAGCTCGGATGTGAGTGTGTAGGGAGGGTCAGAGTGATAGGTGAGCTCGGATGTGAGTGTGTAGGGAGGGTCAGAGTGATAGGTGAGCTCGGATGTGAGTGTGTAGGGAAGGTCAGAGTGATAGGTGAGCTCGGATGTGAGTGTGTAGGGAGGGTTGGAGTGATATGTGATGTCGGATGTGAGTGTGTAGGGAGGGTCAGAGTGATAGGTGAGCTCGGATGTGATTGTGTAGGGAGGGTCAGAGTGATAGGTGAGCGGGGATGTGAGTGTGTAGGGAGGGTCAGAGTGATAGGTGAGCTCGGATGTGAGTGTGTAGGGAGGGTCGGAGTGATAGGTGAGCTCGGATGTGAGTGTGTAGGGAGGGTCGGAGTGATAGGTGAGCTTGGATGTGAGTGTGTAGGGAGGGTCGGAGTGATAGGTGAGCTCGGTTGTGAGTGTGTAAGGAGGGTCAGAGTGATAGGTGAGCTCGGATGTGAGTGTGTAGGGAGGGTCAGAGTGATAGGTGAGCGCAGATGTGAGTGTGTAGGGAGGGTCAGAGTGATAGGTGAGCTCGGATGTGAGTGTGTAGGGAGGGTCAGAGTGATAGGTGAGCTCGGATGTGAGTGTGTGGGGAGGGTCGGAGTGATAGGTGAGCTCGGATGTGAGTGTGTAGGGAGGGTCGGAGTGATAGGTGAGCTCGGATGTGAGTGTGTAGGGAGGGTCAGAGTGATAGGTGAGCGCGGATGTGAGTGTGTAGGGAGGGTCAGAGTGATAGGTGAGCTCGGATGTGAGTGTGTAGGGAGGGTCAGAGTGATAGGTGAGCTCGGATGTGAGTGTGTAGGGAGGGTCGGAGTGATAGGTGAGCTCGGATGTGAGTGTGTAGGGAGGGTCAGAGTGATAGGTGAGCTCGGATGTGAGTGTGTAGGGAGGGTTGGAGTGATATGTGATGTCGGATGTGAGTGTGTAGGGAGGGTCAGAGTGATAGGTGAGCTCGGATGTGATTGTGTAGGGAGGGTCAGAGTGATAGGTGAGCGGGGATGTGAGTGTGTAGGGAGGGTCAGAGTGATAGGTGAGCTCGGATGTGAGTGTGTAGGGAGGGTCGGAGTGATAGGTGAGCTCGGATGTGAGTGTGTAGGGAGGGTCGGAGTGATAGGTGAGCTTGGATGTGAGTGTGTAGGGAGGGTCAGAGTGATAGGTGAGCTTGGATGTGAGTGTGTAGGGAGGGTCAGAGTGATAGGTGAGCTTGGATGTGAGTGTGTAGGGAGGGTCGGAGTGATAGGTGAGCTCGGATGTGAGTGTGTAGGGAGGGTCAGAGTGATAGGTGAGCTCGGATGTGAGTGTGTAGGGAGGGTCAGAGTGATAGGTGAGCTCGGATGTGAGTGTGTAGGGAGGGTCAGAGTGATAGGTGAGCTCGGATGTGAGTGTGTAGGGAGGGTCAGAGTGATAGGTGAGCTCGGATGTGAGTGTGTAGGGAGGATCAGAGTGATAGGTGAGCTCGGATGTGAGTGTGTAGGGAGGGTCGGAGTGATAGGTGAGCTTGGATGTGAGTGTGTAGGGAGGGTCGGAGTGATAGGTGAGCTCGGATGTGAGTGTGTAGGGAGGGTCGGAGTGATAGGTGAGCTCGGATGTGAGTGTGTAGGGAGGGTCAGAGTGATAGGTGAGCTCGGATGTGAGTGTGTAGGGAGGGTCAGAGTGATAGGTGAGCTCGGATGTGAGTGTGTAGGGAGGGTTGGAGTGATAGGTGAGCTCGGATGTGAGTGTGTAGGGAGGGTCGAATGATAGGTGAGCGGGAATGTGAGTGTGTAGGGAGGGTCAGAGTGATAGGTGAGCTCGGATGTGAGTGTGTAGGGAGGGTCAGAGTGATAGGTGAGCTCGGATGTGAGTGTGTAGGGAGGGTCGGAGTGATAGGTGAGCTCGGATGTGAGTGTCTAGGGAGGGTCAGAGTGATAGGTGAGCTCGGATGTGAGTGTGTAGGGAGGGTCAGAGTGATAGGTGAGCTCGGATGTGAGTGTGTAGGGAGGGTCAGAGTGATAGGTGAGCTCGGATGTGAGTGTGTAGGGAGGGTCAGAGTGATAGGTGAGCTCGGATGTGAGTGTGTAGGGAGGGTCAGAGTGATAGGTGAGCGGGGATGTGAGTGTGTAGGGAGGGTAAGAGTGATAGGTGAGCTCGGATGTGAGTGTGTAGGGAGGGTCGGAGTGATAGGTGAGCTCGGATGTGAGTGTGTAGGGAGGGTCAGAGTGATAGGTGAGCGCGGATGTGAGTGTGTAGGGAGGGTCAGAGTGATAGGTGAGCCAAACACCATCTATATTGTCTCTACTGCCACTTTACTTTGTCTTGTAAATATGGCAGAAGGCATTGCGTATCAAGGAAGAGGTCATTGCTGCGCTCATATTGTACTCGGACGTCACTCAACTAAGCAAAAACGACACACAGAAGGTCTGGCCCGTTGTCCTCTCACTCGGGAATATTGCTGTTGAACATCGTTGGAAAACGAGTGCGAAGCAGATGGTGGCAATGCTGCCCCTGCCTCATTCGAAATGGAAGAGCAACGTCAAGACAGAGCTGTTCTTGAAGTGCATGCAGATCGTCCTCCAGCCACTCATGGATGCCAGAAACAGGTCAGTTTTGAACTGCAGACCATGGATTCTCATTGGTCTCTTAAGCCCAGTACATTGACAAAGTCTTTTGCCTCCTTGCAGTGAAGTGAGTTGTGTGTGGTCTGACCCATCAGGGGTCAAACGCCTTGTGAGGCCGTTATTCTATAGTTATCCTTGCGACTACCCAGAAAGCTGCAAGGTGACAAGTACATTCCAGCACGGTAGCAACCGGCCATGCTCGATGTGTTACGCGTTGGGTGCCGAGTGCGACAACCTGACCAAAAAGTTCAAGTCGAGGAACCCAAAGGAGCAACGGTTTCTGATGGATAAATACAAGATGTTATACCAAGCAGGGAAGACTTTGGCTAAGGATTATGCCGCGCTGTGGGCCTCATTCCCTTTCCACGTACGTTCACTGCCTTTTCTAAACTGTGTGTTTGTCATTTTACTATGTTTTTCAAGTTTATACCTGACCAAGGTACCCGAACCCCACTGCAGACATTCATTTGGGACTTCAAATACGCCAACACACCATGGGGTAACCCATACCTGGCGCTCATGCCTGATGTCCTTCACCAGGCGGACGTTGGGGTGTGGATGCACATCCGTGACGCCATAGCCACACTCGACAACGCAAAGAACGGCAAGCTAGACGAGTTAGTGCTTCCATTGCCTTGCCCTGAATCTGCCCTCAGATTGCTATCTCCCTTGCCTTGCCCTGAATCTGCCCTCAGATTGCTATCTCCATTGCCTTGCCCTGAATCTGCCCTCAGATTGCTATCTCCCTTGCCTTGCCCTGAATCTGCCCTTAGATTGCTATCTTCCTTGTCTTGCGCTGAATCTGCCCTCAGATTGCTATCTCCATTGCCTTGCCCTGAATCTGCCCTCAGGTTGCTATCTCCATTGCCTTGCCCTGAGTCTGCCCTCATATTGCTATCTCCCTTGCCTTGCCCTGAATCTGCCCTTAGATTGCTAATCTGCCTTTCCTTCACCCTTGTATGGCAAATCCCCACAACCCACCAAACCGATCTTGCTACTTTGTTTGCCTTTTTTGCCTCCGCCCTTCCTGCCATACAACCATATACAGGAGGATGAAGTGGCTATGGAACCATGGGCGGATAGCCAGCCTGAATCTGCCCGTTCGAGGGACGTATTTCCAATCCGGAGCTCGCGTCTCTGCTGCTGAACAATGTGCAGTGATGCAAGTGGCAATCTTCATTTTAGAAGGGCTTGTTGATAAAGTGCATCCGGACGCAGTGCAGGCATTCTTGCGCTGGTACAGGGCCATCTTCTGCCCGCGCTATCACACTGACGAAAGTCTTGCCAAAGAGGATCTCCTTGCGCATAGGTGGGACTTTTGTTTCCCCTTTGTCCGCCTCCATGTCACTTTGAGCTGCCCTTCTCACTTTGAGCTGCCCTTCTCACTTTGAGCTGCCCTTCTCACTTAGAGCTGACCTTGATTCCTGGCAGAACTACTCTTCCTAACTTGATTCTCAGGTCTTCTGCACGTGCCCTGACTTCTTTCCTACCCCCCTCCTCCCTCCACTGCCCCAGGATGATCACAAAACTGAAAGAGGCGTTTCCTACCCAGGCCTCTGCCTTGGAAGTTTGTGAAAGTGCACATGGTGGTGAACTATTCTGATGCGATTCGAAGGGGGGGGGTTGCCTGAGGAGTACTCAACAAATATGTATTAGCATTTTCACAAAGTCACACTGAAAAGACCGTACCGCGCCTCAAACCGCCACCAATGGACGGAGTCGATAATCAAAAGTAATCAATTCCTATCCATGCTAGCACAGGTGGAAAGTGATATCCATGAGGAGCGCGACTACACTTGTCAACCACCGCGATCACCGGCAACCTCTCCCCGCACATGAACTGGACGGAGACCAAGGGCGATACCTCCATGCTTTGCGTGTGGGGGTGCATGGTTCAGTATCGCCCGCCAACATCAACTATCGGCAAGTTCAAGAGTCGCGCGCTCTGGGGGATCCACCTCGGCATCAGCCACGAATACAAGGTGTGGATCATTCGGGACCTCCTGAGCCAAAAAAGTTAAGAACGCGCGAGACGTCATCTTCTATGAGCGCCTCTTCCTCCAGCAGTTTTGCGAAGATGAGCAGACGAACGCGAACTGCGTTTACGCCAATGACAGGCATAGCTACACCACACGAGAAGACGAAGCTGTCGCGGCTATCTTGGAGGAAGACCCCAGAAGGGAGTTCACGAGAGCCGATCCTCGCGACGACGACAACGATGACGATGATTCAGGAGAAGGAGGAGCGGGCGTAGCAGGAGGTGCTTCTGAAGGTGCTGGAGTTAGCGATGTTGGAGCTGGAGGTGCTGCTGGCGCTGGTGCTGCCGCTGGGGGTACTGGTGCTGTCCCTACTATTTCTGGAGGCGCTGCGCGGCCGCGGCCGTACTTCGTTCCGCTCCTTGAGCAGGTTCTTGGTCTTCCGCCTTCTACTGGTCCTGCTCCTCCCTTAGTGTGTCTACACACCGACACCTCTTTGCCGCCGTTCTACATCCTCGTGTACGTCGACGACTTGGTCTTTGCCACTGCTGACACTACTGGACTCGCCCACGTGAAGTCCGAGCTGCAGAAGAGACACACGTGCACAGACCTGGGTGAACTGCGCAGCTACCTTGGCTTGCAGATCACCCGGGACAGAGCACAGCGCACCATTACTCTGACTCAGTCACACATGGTGCAGCAGGTCCTTCAGCGCTTCGACTTCACGTACTCCTCGCCTCAGGCCACTCCTTTGTCTACTCGCCACTCGCTCTCAGCTCTGCCTTCGGATGAGTCTGTAGAGCCGAGTGGCCCGTACCCAGAGCTTGTTGGCTGCCTCATGTACCTGATGACCTGCACTCGACCTGACCTTGCATACCCTCTTAGCATCTTGGCACGCTATGTTGCTCCTGGGAGACACCAACCAGAGCACATGGCTGCAGCGAAGAGGGTGTTGCGCTACTTGTGCAGTACGTCGGGCATGGGGCTAGTGCTTGGAGGGCGACGTCGAGTGGTCCTCACAGGTCACGCAGACGCTTCTTGGGCTGACGACCAGGCTACGCAGCGGTCGTCGCAGGGTTACACCTTCAGCCTTGGTTCCGGCTCTGTTTCGTGGCGATCTACCCGCTCGTCTTCTGTTCTCGGCTCTAGCTGTGAGGCTGAGATCTACGTGGGGGCCATGGCTACACAGGAGCTACGCTGGCTCACCTACTTGTTGACTGACCTAGGAGAGCCGCCTCGTTCTCCTCCAGTTCTGTACGTAGACAATAAGGCCATGCTGGCCTTGTGTCTAGAGCACAGACTGGAGAACAGAACGAAGCACATTGCTCTTCGCTACTTCCTTGCTCGTGAGCTACAGCAGCGTGGTCAGCTGCGCCTTGCTTACGTGGCCTCTCAGGCCAACACTGCTGATATCTTTACCAAGGCACTTCCGCCTTGTGATCATCAGCGCTTCTGTACGATGCTAGGTCTTGTGCCTACTTGGCCTCACTTGCTCAGTTCTTGACCTTTCTTGTACTGTGATCTATCTATACATGCACTTGCTTGTTTGCCTTTATATATGATCTTGCATGCGAACTGGCCTTGTGGCCTTGAACTTGTGCTCGGAATGTGTGGTGACGTTGTGATCCACCCTGAGCTTACTGTGCTTTGCTTGGCTGGTCTTGTGACCTCTTGTTCTCCCCCACTTTGCCTATGGGGGTGTGTCAAACTTATATGCTATAGTCTGTGTATGCTGTAGTGGGGTAGACAATATGGGGTACAACAATTTTAGGTTTTCCTACTTGTACCCACCTGTTTCCTAGTGCATCCTTTCACATCAGCGCTACGTACCTGTGGGATGGAATGAAGACGAAGATCCATCCTCTCACAGACGGTACAAGGCGACCCTAATGACTCCGCGACTCGCGCTACTCCTGCATAGAAACAACACCGACAACCACAACACCTGGTACTTGGACAGCAGCTGCGGGCAGCATATGGTGGGTTCTGTTCGCTACGTCTCGAACCTCAGCTGCCCCCCCGCCACCTACGTCACCGTCGCCAACAATGAGCAGCTGCGCGCCAACACACAAGGCATTGTGGTCCTGCAAGAACGAGACAGCAGCACACATATCTCGTTCAATGACGTGCTTTACGTCCTGGACCTTCTCTTCAACCTACTCTCAGCAGGAGAACTCAAAGACTGCAGAGTCATGATCGCCATGGATCGAACGACACACGACCTTCTTCTCACCTACGCCCCGCCGGACACCTCTCCTGAGTCGCACAAATACCTCGGATGAGCCTGCTCCATCATCGGCATCTACGTCCTAGATTTTGACATACCGTGCTGTCAGGCTTCGTCCGACAAGCTCGTGGATCTCGTTCCCCTCGACTTCATGAACGAGGAGTCATGGCAGCACTCGGACGGACGGCCGTGGATCTGCCGCAGCCCTCATCTCCGCGAGATTAATCTGCATGAGCCCAACGTCAACGGACTCTGCACCACCTGCCACACTCCCACGACAAGTCGCATAGAGCATGAGGAGAAAGAATATGCGGCAATTTAGGAAGCGGAGAGTGCCAAGGCAGAAACAACAGGCATGATTGAAGAAGAGCTCGCCGTGTCGTCTTACCGCATCTTCGCCGAACCAAATGACAGGTTCGGACATCTGCGAGTGGCTCGACCAGCACCACACTCGGTGACGCTCCGGTTCGTCCTAGAAGCCAACACCAGCACCTTCGATGAAGATGGATGACCACGT